AAATTCTATGAATGATAGGGTAAACATCTCATAAAAGCGATTACCTCAAAATATATCATGTATGCATCATGTTAATTATTATTAAAAATAGCATATTTAATGGTTATAGTTGTTATTATATGAAAAATGCAAATAATTAGTTGGCATATAGATACGTCACCTACATGAAATTATGTGAATTTTAATTTCAAGAAGCAGAGTGACATGAAATATATTATTTGAGAAGAATTATCGCTATACTTAAAAGTTGTTGTATTGTTTTAAGATCATGAAATAAATAGATATTCTTATTTAGACATTATTTTGAGTTTCATTAAAGGTTGAAGACCTTTAATAAATTTGATGTTGTTCTTGTGATAAAGAACATAATATATCCTTGATTCTAAATTTCAAGTTTAAGTATATGATAAATGTTGCTTTATCATCTTAGATATATTCTTTGTCATGCTGAAGTATACATATGATCAAGCCATACAAATATTACCTTGTGAGTTATATATATTAGTATTAATTTTGTGAGCTTATGCTTCTACATGGTTAACATATACATTTATTGAAATTTATGAATTGATTTATAAAATGTGGATTTATAGTACATGTGCGTGAATTATTTGCAACCTCAACAACTATATTTATATTTACAAGAGTATAATTGATCTTATAAAGTTATGTATTATATGGTGTAAAATATTTGAGATTAATGTTTATATTCAAGTAATTTGAATATAAGAATATCAATATTTAGTATGTGGGAGCATATGATCATACTTTTGTATTGGTTGGAGTATATGCGAAAAATTATTTTTAACTAAGTGAGAAAATAAAGGTGATATTAACTTAGTTGATTGTGTACAACTACAAATTATAACAATGATCGGAGTAAAAAAGAATACTAGTAAAACACGTCTCTTTCTCATTAGATTTAATAATTCGATTGTTCATGTTCGTAGGTTCATACGATATCCAATCATTTTGACCTCGACAAAAGAGTATAACCCACATTGATCATTCAAGGAAACAAACTTTTTTTAATGTATGACTATATAATCAAAGCTTTTTGATTTTATTTTAAAACATCGCATATTACAAGACTCGACATTCACGTGCAACGCATGTGCCGGGAAATTAGTGTATATATATATATATATATATATATATATATATATATGTATATATATATATGAAGGACTAAAATAAGCCAACCCCAATACATCTTACCATTTTGATCATTTTCACATAAAATTCAAGGACTTTTGACGATGCAATCCAATAATTAATTCATTGCCTTTAATTAATGGTCTTCCTAGAATCATGTTCAGAGAAATTAGTACTTATTTAAAAAGATATCATCAATTCCCGTACATAGTGTATTCGCTAATAATGGATATCTCGTATGCATAACTTATTTAACTTTTGAATCATACCTTAGACTTTCTTTTGTTCCACCCCAATCCAACGCTAACAACCAAATTAAATATTTCATGCCCTGTCAGCTGAATATATATTTAATTAAAGATCGGCTTCTCTCCCAGACAACCTAAAAAGAAAAGGAAGAATCTCAAAATATTGTCGCCAATTGGAAAACGACAGTCCAAACAAAATGATTTCAAGTAGTATTATATCAAGTAGTATCAGTGCATAGCTTAGTGCTCCTCGAGCACATGGTTCCTAATTAGGGGATTTTTTTAGCCCAAGTCTTGAATATATGTTAAAAAATAAATTAAAAATGTACAAAAATTAAAATTAAAATCCATTTAATAGCACTTGAGATCGTTATTCTAAAATCTAAAACTTATAAAATTTAAATCTTAGATCCATTTCAAATTTTTATGCTTCCAAAATCTCCTAGACAAATGTAAGAGGAATTGCAAAATATTTTATGCAAGTAGACTCCATCCTACTATATATAGCTTGTTGGTTATCAACCTTGTTCTGTTCCTGTAACTATGCTCAATGAATCTCCGAGCTTGCAGAGAAGTGGTCTACAGTTAGGAAAATGTTTGAATAATGTGAATTCCCATTAGATTAGATTAATTACCTCTTTGGAGCCTACTAGAATTTCCAAAAACGTCAGTCACCAAGTCCATGGTGACGAACTAGTTTAAGTCCGTGCAGTAAGGCGAAGAAACTTTGGCATGATGTTCGATGTAGTGGATATGTGTCTTGGGGATGGGATCCCTCCAGTAGTGTCCGGGCCGTAATGCTCAATGGCTTCTTATATGCATGTCATGTGTAATGAGTTTTAAAGGCTTAGATTTTGTTTGTGTTTGTACTTCCTTTTTTCTATTTACTTTATTTATTAAACAAATATAATACTTAAAAATTACTAAAAAATAAGGATGACAGGATTTCCTTCCCCAACCCTAGGGGTGTCAAGTGGGCCGATCCGGACCCTAAACGGACTAAGTGGGCCGGATTTCGGGCCAGTCCCCGAGCCTTAAATAAACGGGCTTAGCGGCCCCGGGCTAAACGACCTTTTGTAGGAACCGTTTCGGGACCGGGCCCACGAACTCAGGGTCCCGGGCTAAACGGGCCGAGCACACTGGCTAAGTGGGCCCACCGGCTAAGTTGTGATTTAAAAAAAAAATTAAATAAAAATTAGAGACAAAAAGATGTTAAAAAAATATCTAAGGCAATGCCTTGTAAATTTATTATAGAATTGTGACCTAATTTTTTAATTTAAATTTAAAGACAAAAATATTGTAAAAAGATATTCAAAGCAATGCTTTGTAATTTTATTATAGTAATAAAAAATATGGCAATATCTTTCTTAGTCTTCCTCCCCCACTATGGAATGAGCACAACAATGTGCTAATACAACCATTGAGAAGAAAAAGGAACTAATCAAGATATCCAAAAATACGAGTTACATAATACATACTAACTTTTATTCATACAAGTTACATGCTATCTCTTACAAACTTCATAAATTGATTATCGTTGAAAACTTGAAGAATTCAATTCACCAACTTCATAAATTTTTCATATATTGTAACAACCTCAATATTTTTTGACTATTTTTTGGAATAAAGTAAGCAATAATAGCAAGTATAGAAGAAAATTAGAGAGAAATTGCGATAGATTGATATTGATTTTGTAAGAAAATGAAAGAATGAGGGGGATATTTATAGTTGAAAATAGGGAAAAAGTGTAATTATAAAAAGTTTGGGTTAAAACTAAGTTTGGAGGTGTTTAAATGACTATTTTTTTAAAGCCCAACATCTATTTTTTAAAATAGCCAAACGGCTAGTTTATTTTTCTAAAAAATATCCGTTTGGCCCGCCAAGGTCCCGGTCCCTTGACGGGCCAAACAGACCTGGTCCTAACGGTTTCTATGCAAGAACCGGCTCACAAAACCGGCCCAAGCCCACCTCTAACGGTCCTACCGGTCCCGGCCCACTTGGCACCCTTACCCAACCCCAACCCACGAAAACTTTGCTCTCTTCTTCTTCTTCAACCTTAGGATTTCCTTCACACATAGACATACCCAAACTCTCATTTCTTCTATTTTCTAGATTGCCAAGTTTTATTGGACATTCACTTAAAATTTAAGAAAATTCAACGGCACTGTGTGAAAGAAGACAAAGATGGAGAAAACGGTGTAGAATTTCCTGTCATTTTTATTTTTAAATTTTTAAAGTATTATATTTGTTTAAAAAAGTAAATATATAGAAAAAAAGAAGTACTAGTACAAACTAAATCTAAGTCTTTGAAACTCCATCAGCACACATGGTATGTATCTAAGAAGCCATGGAGCATTACTGGATAGTATCCTACTGGAGGGGATCCCACCTGTGTTTTTGCAAGTTGCCTAAGGAGACGGCATATTTAGCTTGAAATAATTCGTTCTAGTTAGATGCCTACATTAATTGCAAATAGTCAAGATTTCAGAAACTACGATGACAAGTCCTAATTTAAATTTTGAATCTCTATTCTCATCAATAGTGAGTACCTTGTATAAGAGAGTAACATATTGTCCTATTTTCTTGTCATTTTCACACACGCACCCCCACTCCAATCTATACATGTGGGGAACCTTCGCCAAATGCCTATTCAAAATGGCTAAACCAACCTTTTGACCAAACGCGCTTGCATCTGCGCAATTACCAAATAGTAGGCAGTGGACAATTTTTCCTTCCAGAAAAGCTCAAGCTTCCTTCCTATCATCAAAACCCAACTTTTTCTTTACTCTCTCTCTCTCTCTCTCTTTGCCTTTATCCCCTCAATTTCATGCATGTCTATTGATTTGGAAAGCTAAGCAAATAACCCTATATATCTATTCCTTTCAAGTCAAGCAAGAATACAATTCATCCAAAAAAGCAACACAAAAAGAAGAAAAAGAGTTTTAAAAATCCTATCTGTTTATCTATTTTTATTCAGACTTACCTCATTTTGTTAAAAAAAAAACAATCATTTCGAGGAGTCTCAGAAATTTCACCTTTGATATCTCCTGTATTGATTCTTCATGGATATGGTGTCGTGCGCTTACAGAGATGCAACGGCACAGAGACTATCAAGAACTAAGTACCATGAGAAAAGCACAACGAACAACTTACACCAAAAACCAAAAATTCCCTTTTTAACCTCCTCCTACTCCGACGATGAATTTCCCTACCCGTTTGGCGAATTGGATGTGGACTTGACGGAATCGGAGCTCCGGGAAACCGCGTACGAGATCCTGGTCGGAGCTTGCCGTAGCTCCACCTCCGGCAGGCCGTTGAAGTTTGTTTCCAGTTCTGAGAGATCGTCATCGTCGTCGATGATGTCATTGTCGCCGTCGTTTCAGAGGTCGGTGACGTCGACGGCGGCGAGTAAGGTGAAGAAGGCGCTTGGACTGAAGTCGAGGAAGAAGAATTCGGACTCAGTAGTGAGTGGGAATAAAAAGGGTTCTACGACTGTGGGTGAGTTGATGAGGGTCCAAATGAGGGTTTCGGAGACCACTGATTCTAGGGTCCGACGAGCCTTCTTAAGAGTAGCTGCTGGCCAGGTTTTTGTTCATCTTTTCTTTGCTGATAAAATTTTATTTGACACACTTTCCTTTGTATAGTATGTTTAGAAAAGAACGACACACTTCTTCATTTGGAAACAATTAACTTTACGCTTTCAGTATTACCCTTAATGAAACTTTTAATTAATTGAGCACCCTAGGACTTATGGTTCATCAAAGCCGGATGTGTGGTAGGCACACGATAGAATGCCGAGCCTAGTATTTAAGTGGAGAAAGGCAGATGAGGGGGCTCATTGTCCACGGAGTTCCAAAGCTGGAAACTTCTTTGTTACTTGTCCACGGAGTTCCAAAGCTGGAAACTTCTTGGTTACCAAAAAAGGAATAAAAGGATTAATTTGCAGCAACTGAACTGTCAAGTTACACAGAGTGATTTCAGATTTTAAGCAGGTCCTTGTTGATAGAACTGATGTTCTTTTCTCCATCATTTCTAGTATAATCACATGACGTCAAGATTTTTTTTTTTAATCACTAATACATCCGTTTAAAAGATGGCCAACAAGTTTATTGATGTCCTTCAGAAACCATGTTTTTGGTATCCTTGGATATAAATGATAGGTTAAGAATAACAGAACGGATGATTCTTATGGGCAGTGCGATGAGTATGTGTAGCGTTTTAGCTACTATTGGAAAATAAAAAGCAGTAAAGAAAATGCAAGAAGATTCTAAAAAAAGGTTTTTCATCGACAAAAGATGGAAATTACACTGATTCCTAATATATTAGTACTAAATTCCTCCGGCTGTGACAAGTGTACTGATCCAATCATAAATCAACACCCTAGTACTATTTCCCAACGGATAAAAAGTTGGCAGGACACTGTCATTCTAAAGGGCTAGGCCATACTTTTTTAGGCAAGCATAATAGCTAAAAACCTAAGGGACTAAAATGATAATATGAAACTATTCTTATTTCTGGATTTGGGCCCAACTCCATCAGACCCTTCTCTTCATTTCTTCTTCATTCATTTCAAGCTGAGCGGATAGTCCGTTCCGCTACTTCCCGCTCCCCTTTGAGAATGTCGACAATCAAGGTCGAAATTCTGGGAATTGAGAAGTGAGGAAGGAATAATCCTCCCAAGTAGCATCCTCCGTAGCTAAGTTGGTCCATTGAACCAGCATTTGGGTCACCACCCGATTCTTATCATTCGCCGATCGAGAATTGCCGCGGGCTCGGCCAAAAGTTGACCATCTGGTTTGCTCAAGGGTGAATCTTTTGCTGGAAAAACATTTGGCCCAAGCTTCTTTTTCAGTTGGGACACCTTAAAGACCAGATGAATTCAGGATTCACTGGGAAGCTGGAGCTCATATGCCACTGGACTAATCTTCTTGACTACTCGGTAAGGTATATAGAATTTAGAGGCTAATTTTAGATTCTTCCTTAATGCAACTGACGTTTGCCTGTAGGGCTGTAGTTTGATGAAAACCATATCCCCTACCTCATAAACGCTCACTCCTTTTACTATCTGCATATTGTTTCATTCGAAGCTGAGCCTTGACCAGATTCTCCTTCTATTGCTTGTTCACCATTTGTCTTTTCTTTAGCATTTGATTAACTGCTCCCACTTAGATTGTGTGGCTGAGGAGGTTCGTATCCATAGAGAGCCTGAAATGGGGTCATACCTATTGCCGATTGAAAATTGGAATTATACCAAAATTCTATTGGGGAGAGCTATTTGTTCCATCCTTTGGCTTTTGGCCTGTCACACGCCTTAGATAGGACTCAAGGCATCTGTTTAATCTCTCTGTTTGCCCATCCGTTTAGGGGTGATAATGCTGAACTTAATTTGAGCTGTACCTGCATGCTTTTAAAAAGCTCTTGCCAAAAGAGACTTACAAAAATGGGATCTTTGTCCGACTCGATAGAGCAGGGCATTCCATGTAGTTTGCACACAAAATCTAGGAAGGCTTGAGCTAGTTGAGTAGCATTGTAAGGATGAGACAAAGCTATGAAGTGAGCCTACTTAATACATCAGTCTACCGCCAACAAAGTAACATCTTTTCCATGCGACTTTGGTAGACCCTCAATGATGTCCATGGATATGTGCTCCCAAGCCCTTCCGGAATTGGTAATGGTTGCAACAAGCCGGGGTAAGCCACACTTTCATCTTTGTTTCTTTGACAAATTTCGCATTCTTGTACAATGGTCTTCACATCCTTAATCATTTTTGGCCAATAAAAAATGGATTTTAACTTTTGATATGTTGCGTGTATACCTGAATGTCCTCCCCAAGTTGATGAATGCATGTTGTGAACCAGTTTGTTCCTGAGGTTCTTCTGATTTCCAATCCAAACCTTCCCTTGAAATCTTAGCAATCCCAACTGGAATGTGACTTCAGGTACTGCTTTTGGATTTATAGATAGCTTGGTGATTAGTTCCTGGCCTCACTATCTTCTTCGTAGCTTTCCTGGACTTCCTAGGCCCATTTGGGCTGGGTCACACTGAGACTCAAACATTCTAAGTCTGATTGAACCACTTTGGTTCCTCCCCCTTCGAGACAATGCATTAGCTATAATGTTTCTTTCCCTTGCCTATAATGTATTTCATAACTTAATCCCATCAATTTCGTTACCCATTGTGTTGTAATGATGTAGTGATGCGTTGGTCTCTTAGGAATTTTAGACTCAAATGATTTATCTGGATCACAAAGTGATTGGGCGGGAGGTATAGTCTCTATCTAAGTTGCTCGGACACGGGTGCGAGTGTCCGACACGTGTCGAATCCTGAGGTCGGATCCTTCCAAATGTAAATTCTAAAATTCGGGGATATGGATCCTAGTACGGATAGGGGTGCGAGGATTATGCTAAAAATAATTTAAAAAAATAAAAAAAATAAAAAAAATAAAAAATCTCTAAATTATAAGAAATTTTGTGGATACTTACGTATAACAGTATAACTTGTAAAGCATGGATTTATTTTTATTCTAAAGTTGTAGATAAATAAAGAATTGATTTTCTGGATACGGTATGCTCTTTCCTTCAGATTTACCCTAGTTTTGGTTCTTATTTCGGGAATCAACTTGTATCTCGTCTCGAATTTTTCCGTCCGTCGTGGTCAAAGTACCCAGAATTGTTTGACCAGATCCGGTACGAATCTCATACTCACATCCATACTAGTGGCGTGTCGACACAGGTGCGGTACCTAAACCGCCATGTCTGAGCAACTTAGGTCTTCATTTCTCAACGGCCAGAAGAAGAGCTATGAGCTCTTTGTCATATGCTGACAGGCCCAAGTGCTTTGGGCTCAAGGCTTGGCTCAAAAAAGCAATGAGCCTATTGTGCTAAGAAAGCACTGCCCCTACGCCTAGTCCACTGGCGTCGACTTCAACAACAAATAGCTCCGTAAAATCTGGCAGAGCTAATACCGATGCTTGAGTCATGGCCATCTTCAAAGCTTCAAAAGCCTTAGTAGCAGCGCCGTTCCACACGAAACCACCCTTTTTTAATAAGACTGTTAAGGGCTTGCTAATCACAGTGTAATTTTTAATGAGTTGGTAATAACCTGTTAAACCAGGGAACCCTCGTAGACCCTTAATTGCAAACAGGTTTAGGCCACTTTGAACGCTTAGCAAACAGCTGATGCTCAGTTAACAACTTAAACACCATGCTATGTGTTCCATATGTTCTCCTAATGAAACACTGTAGACCAAGATATGGTCAAAAAAAGACCAAAACAAACTTTCTTAAATATGGTGGGCCAAAATGTGGTGCATTAGGGCCTGAAAGGTAGCTGGTGCCTTTGTAAGACCAAACGGCATACCAGTGTACTTCCACTGCCTATGATGCGTCTTAAAAGCTGTTTTGTGTTCATGACCCGCCTTCATCCTTATTTGATGATACCCCGATCATAGGTTCAATTTAGAATAAATTTGAGCTCAATTTAGCTCATCAAGCAAGTCTTCCACCACGAGAATCGGGTACTTGTTTTTAATTGTGGTATTAGTGAGCCTCCTATAGTTAACACACATCCTCTAAGATGAATCTTTTTTAACGGGGATAACTGGAGATGCAAATGGGGATGTAGTTACCGTCCCTGCTTCCAGCATTTCACGGATACTCTTTTCTATTATGTCTTTCTGCTCGTGTGAATACCTATAGGGTCTTTGATTAATAGATTTAGAACCTGGCAATAACTCAATTGCATGATCACATGATCTCTCGGGGTAAAGTGGTTGGTTCACTAAACACCAAATTAAACTCCTTCAAGATTTTTTCCACCCGGGCTGGAATTTGTTCACTGTTGGCCCCTACTGATTCCAGTTGACAAGTTTGGGCCACCCAATTACATTCTCCTTGACGTAATAAACCTGCAATCAGCTTGGTATCGTTATGACCCAATCCAATTGAATCATGATAACTAACCAAGGTTACCATTCTTGTGCCTCTCATGAATGTGACACTATGGGGCCTGATATGCAAGAATAGGTGCCATCAAGTCAATCCAATCCATGCCGAGCAACAAATCACATCCACCAACCTTCATCACACGAAATTCAAATTCGAAACCCTCTCCTTGCATCTGCCATCCAACCTCACGGCATATGGCACTGGTAACCTAGACTTCTCCATTGGCAACCCGCACTCTCATAGGTCTGACCAATTTTTGCACATCCAATTGTAACAAAGCTGCTAATTGTGGATCAATAAAACTGTGGATGGCTCCACAATTGGTTCACTTTTCAAAAGCCCCGCAATTTTAATGGTATGGGCTTCTGTATGGGCCATCCAACACACTAATCGCCGCTTACTCCTCTTTCCCGTTATTTTCAAGTTTGCTCAGACTCATCTTTAACTCCTGAACTTTACCCTTTCTCTACTGTAGTCTCACCCTCACTGCCTTCCAATGTGTTAAGCGCCTTGGTTTTGTATTTATGCCCCGTAGCCCATTTTTCATGACAGCTATAACATAGCTTTTTATCTCTTAGGGTTTCCAAAGAGGGTGTCTTATTCAGGTTTAATGGACTTCGGGCCACATATGGTGTAATAGCTTTGATGTTTTGGTTGGCTTTTGGGCTTGGGGGAAAAGTAATCCTGAGTTGGGTAGTGGAAATTCTTGGGCCTTGGACGGTTTTATAAATGGCTGATAGTGTATTCTCATGGAGTTTAGCCACCTCCATAGCGTCTGTCAATGTGGATTAGAAGCTCGAACCATGGATTGTAATCCACCCACAAAAGAATAAACAAAGTATGCTTCATTTAATGAGGGATTAATCAGTAAAAACAAAGTTCTTCAAACATGTTAAAATAACTTTCCACATCAGGCCACTGTTGCAGCCTATTTAAATCAATGACAATATCCATGGGCCTTATATTGCCATACCTACGACATACGTCCAAACAAAAAGTCTCCCAAGCAATTGCTCCATCATATAAACATCAAACCAGGTGTCCATTTTCTCCTTGATGTGCATAGCGACATAACTCATCTTTTCGTCTGCTGATACTTGATAAAGCTCACAAAAAAAAAAATAAAAAATTCGCACGTTCCGATCCAACCCCTTGGGTTTTTACAGTCAAGCTCAGGGAAAGATAACTTGACTTTTGGGCCTCTAAACTGCTGGTTTGTGTTTATTGGGGTAAGGGAGTTTGTCTGAATATTGGGTTGAATACTAGGTTGTGTAGTGAGTTCGTAAGTTGGTAAGTTGAACATTGCGCTGGGCACTGGACTGCACAAAAGAACTATTCAGAATAGCTTGGTATGCAAGGGGTGGAAAGAAAATTTGAGGTGTGGTGTTATGTGAAGTGACAGGAGATGAAACTTGGCTATAATTACCTCTCACCGGATAGTCTAACGGATAGTCTAATCCGCCACAGTATGCTGAGCTAGTTAAATCTAGTAGCTAGATGTCACGACCCTAGGCCATGACACGTATTTTCTGCTTTTGGCCTAGGTCCGCACCGATTTGTCTTCCAGGTTACGCCACCTCGAGCCCTAAAAGCGCGCGTACAATGTGAACTCGTGTCATGCCTTATAAAGCTCTTCACTTCCTCTTCCATTCCAATGTGGGATTCGCCTAAGGTGACATGTGCACCCCTTCTTTAGAAATTTGCCAACTTAGAAGCCTGCCAGTCCTGCTTGATCCGCCCTCATCAGTCCGCCCTTCGTTATGGGCATCACATTCCCCCCTCCCCCCTTTCCCCTTCCCCCGAGGACTCAACGTCCTCGCTAATGTTTGCCTCACCATCGTATTGAGGGAGATTCGGCTTTGATGCCGTATTTGTCACGACCCAAGCACATGACACGTATTGTTCGCTTTGGGCCTAGGCCCACACGGATTTGTCTTTTGGGCTACGCTACCTCGAGCCCCAAAAGCGCGTGTACCATGTGAACTTGTGTCATGACTTATAAAGCTCTTCTCTTCCTCTCCCATTTCGATGTGGGATTCGCCTATGGTGGCACCCCTTCTTCAGAAGCTTGCCAACCTAGAAACCTGACAGTCCTGCTTGACCCGTCCTCCGTCATGGGCATCACACTAGATGGGCCTCACCTTCATTACTTGATGGTCTTGTTTATCTGAAGTGGGAAATTCATTGACATGGATTGGTTGGAAAATGGGATTCATTTAAAATGTGTTGCTAAATGAGTTTGATACACATTTATAGATAAAAATAGTACTGGAATGTTCTTTAAACTGCACCTTAATGGTTAGATTGTTTCTTGTACATTCCAGCTTGGAAGGCGTCTTGAGTCAATGGTTCTACCACTGGAGCTCTTGCAGCAGTTCAAAACCTCAGATTTTCCAAATCCGCAGGAATATGAAGTATGGCAGAGGAGAAACTTGAAACTACTTGAGGCTGGACTTGTCTTGCATCCGTACTTGCCTCTGGATGAGATAGACACACGTCCTAGACAGCTTCAGCATATTATACATGGGGCTTTGGTAAAACCCATGGATACGGGGAAGCACAGTGAATCAATGCAAGTACTCAGGAATCTTGCGACATCCCTCGCCTGCAGATCATTTGATGGGTCGAGTCCCGAGATATGCCATTGGGCAGATGGCACTCCATTGAATATCCGATTCTACCAAATATTGCTTGAAGCTTGTTTTGATGTGAACGATCAGACCTCTGTTATTGAAGAAGTTGATGAGGTCTTAGAAATCATAAAGAAGACTTGGGTAATACTTGATATAGACCAGATGTTCCATAATATTTGCTTTTCATGGGTTTTATTTCATCGATATGTTTCAACCAGCCAAGTTGAAAAAGACCTGCTATTTGCCGCTGATAATCTGTTATCGGAGGTAGCAAATGATGCCAAGGCAGTAAAACAGCCAAGTTGCTCTCAGACCTTGAGTTCTCTGCTTGGCTTGATCCTAGGTTGGGCTGAGAAAAGGCTGCTTGCATATCATGACAGCTTTTACAGGGACAATGTTGATATCATGCAAAGTCTTCTCTCTATGGGTTTATCAGCTACCAAAATTTTGGTCGAACACAATTCGCGCAACTATCAGAAGAAGAAGAAAGAGGTTGATGTTGAATTTAGCAGCGTTGATACTTACATCAGGGCTTCGATGCTCAGCGCCTTTTCTCAGGCAAGTTGGTCTTTGCGGTTTAGTTAACCTCACCATGTAGTACAAACATCATATCGAGAACTCCAATTTGCATTATTAATTTAAGGGGGTTTCAGTGTTTTCCTGCCCTCTTTCTCAGGAATCTAGAATGACGTCGTTGGTACTTTACCTATATTTCTCATCTCAGATACCCCCTGACTTGAAGCGAGAGTTTTTTCCGCTCTCACAGAAAGTACTTCCTGGTAGTGTAGAGCTTCATAAGGATACTGATAATCTATATTTTTGTGCTGTATGTATTTCGCTCTCCTTCTCACAGATTGCAAATTAAAACTGTCTTCTGTCCCCTGAATTGCATTTGAATCTTTCTAGCTTTAGTTTTTTCCTGGCATTTTCGAACTTTTCCCATTTATTTCTGGAGTTTATTTAATCCTTCTAACTTTCATGATTTGGTCTAAGTTAATTCTTGCTCCATTGATGGAAAAAGTGACTAACTCTGCCTACTATGCCTAAAGACAGGAAAAGGAGAGGTTGATATCAAGCAGAAAGTCCTCTAAGAAACAGCAGAATTCACTTCCCAACCTTTCCATCCTGGCCCAAAATGTTACTGATCTGGCTTTCAATGAAAAGGAAATATATAGTGCTGTTCTGAAGAGATGGCACCCTATTGCAACTGGTGTAGCTGTTGCTACACTTCATGCTTGCTATGGAAGTGAGCTGAAGAAATTTGTTTCGGGGATAAGTGAGTTGACTCCAGATGCCCTACAGGTGCTGATAGCAGCTGATAAGCTGGAGAAAGATCTTGTACAGATGGCTGTTGCGGATGCTGTTGACAGTGAAGATGGAGGAAAGTCATTGATTAAAGAGATGACTCCTTATGAAGCTGAAGCTGTGATAGCAAACCTGGTGAAATCATGGATAAGGACTAGAATAGACAGACTTAAAGAATGGGTCAACAGGAATCTGCAACAAGAGGTATGTCTCCTTCTCCTGTTGTTTCTTTATTTTAGTGTTCAGTTTCTGTTCTTGTACTAATGTCTGGTGCCATGGACCATCACCATTGTGCTCAACACTGTCATCATATTCGGCATTAAGAAGCTGGAGGATTTGGGATTACCGTGTTGAAAATATTTCTTTCAGATTGTGAAATTCTTTTCCTGTAATTCCCTAATGTTTTGACACTACCCCTTAAGTGATAGCACAAAAGGGAAGAGCGCGAGCCCGTTTCACTCAACAAAAGTATAGCATTTAACTGTCAAGTCTACCCAGTATTATACACCTATTCTGTAATTTGTGTCTTATCTGCTAGTCTAAGATTTTCCTTCACTCAACTGGTATGCCTGGAAGCTGCCTCTCAATCCAAAAGGGAGAAAANAGAGAGAGAGAGAGAGAGAGAGAGAGAGAGGAGAAGAGCTGTAGTGCAAGTCCCAATTTAACTATTCTACTGGCACCGATTAGCGAATATTTTTGTTAATTAGAGAGGTTAAAAGTGTGATACCTCTTTTGTCGAACAACACTTGTTACTCACACAAACTCTTTTTTGAGCTTGAAATGTGTGGAGATGATAGTGCTGTTGCTTCCTTCATATGTTGACTTCTTTAATGATGTATGACCTAAATCTTTACATTGACTACTTGAATCATCTGAAATTAAAGGGCAGCCCGGTGCACAAGGCATCCTGCATTCAAGCAGGGTCCGAGGAACGCGAGATGCCTTGTGCATCGGGCTGCCCTTTATTTCAGATGATTCAAGTAGTCAATGCAAAGATTTAGGTCAGACATCATTAAAAGAAGTCAAACGCATAAAGGAAGCAACATCACCTGAAATTGGAAGAGGAAAATGGATATGGTCTGCCCGTGCTGGTTGGTCATGCTGTATACAAACCTTAAACACACAGCTAAGTAGTACAACATCACCTGACCTTTTGCCTCCTTTTGTAGGTCTGGAACCCTCATGCAAATAAAGAGCGATTTGCTCCCTCTGGAGTGGAGGTCCTACGCAGCATAGATGAGACTTTCGAAGCATTCTTTTTGTTACCAATACCTATGCATCCAGCTTTGCTTCTAGAGTTAATGAATGGCCTTGATGGATGCCTTCAGAACTACATATTGAAGGCTATATATGGCTGTGGTAAATATTAATTTGGCTGCAAAGTATAAAATGGTGTAACAGTTACGTTATAGACCATTAATTTCTGGTGTGGTTGCAGGATCTCGAAGTACCTTTGTTCCAACTATGCCTGCTTTGACTAGATGCTCAGCTGGGTCAAAGTTTAGTGTGTTCAGGAAGAAAGAGAGGCCTCCTATGGTTTTGCATAAGAAATCTCATAGTGGGACCACTGATGGAGATGATTCTTTCAGTATACCTCAGTTGTGTGTCCGTATTAATACTTTGCACTGCATACGAAAAGAATTGGATGTGCTAGAGAAAAGGACAATTTCCCAACTGAGGGATAATTTACGTGTTCATGATGATAATCTTGTTAATGTGCTGGGCAAAGGTTTTGAGCTGTCAGCAGCTGCTTGTCTGGAAGGGATCCAGCAGCTTTCTGAGGCAATTGCATATAAAGTCATCTTCCATGAGTTGAGTCATGTCTTCTGGGATTACCTTTATGTAGGGGATGTTTCATCATCCTGTATTGAACCTTTCCTACAGGAGCTGGAGAAAAACCTTGAGATCATATCAGCAACAGTTCATGACAGGGTCCGGACACGTGTAATCACTAAAGTAATGAAAGCCTCTTTTGATGGATTCCTGTTTGTTTTGCTGGCCGGAGGACCTTCTCGTTCTTTTTTATTGGCTGATGCTGCAATTATTGATGAAGATTTGAAGTTCCTAATGGATCTATTCTGGTCGGATGGGGATGGATTGCCAGCTGACCTTATAGACAAGTTTTCAACTACTTTGAAAGGCATTCTTCCTCTTTTCCACACTGATACTGCTATTCTAATTGAGCAATTTGAGCATGCAGTTCAAGATAATTTTGCCCCTTCAGCTAAATCCAGACTTCCCTTGCCTCCTACATCAGGTAACTGGAGTCCAACCGAGTCCAGCACCATTATGCGCGTTCTGTGTTATCGAAATGATAAAATGGCAACTAAGTTTCTAAAGAGGAACTACAACTTCCCAAAGAAACTGTAACCATTCACATGGTTGGAAAATGAGTGAGGTGATGTTAGCCAACTGTAACACTGGATCTTGGATTAGGTTGTTCATATTAGGCAGCTGCGTGATTATTTTGTACAGAATACTTGTGATTTATTGAAGGCATATGACTTGATTGTGAGTAAGTTAACAGAGGAAAACGTCAGTTTGTAAAGTGAGATCTTGAGGACTACTGTCAAGGGAGTGAAAGCATATCGTGTATATGTGAAGAAGTGCTACAAAGTTTATCTTATAGACGACTACATTACCAGCTGAATGGATGTCATTCTTGTTCCAAACCTTCTATGTACCTTTCCAAATGTTCTTTCTCCCTGATAGGTAAAATCCTAATGCTTTTTGGATATGTAGCTGTATTTTCTTTGTTTTGTGTTTTATTATGTATTCCGAAAAGAAAGGTTTCTTGAGCTTTTTCCTATGGAAGTTGAGAGAGAGAGTTTGGTTTTGTTCCTGAGATATGCTTAACTGCTTGAAGTGGGTGGTTTGTTTAACCATATATGTTTTTTACTTGAAAACTTACATTGCCAAAATGACACTCCCAATTTTAGTATGGCGAACTATGCTCGACAATGCGGCAAAAGTTTTTGGAAGTTCCTGCAAGTGGTTCTCTCTTTTGCATTCCACTTAAGATTCCGCTAGACGAACCAAAAATGTGACTTGATCTACACTTGATGTTAATATATTTCAGAGTTCCACTAGACCATAGCTGCTGGGAACAAAAGATGTGACTTGATCAACAGTGCATGTTGCTTCCAGATTCTATGCAACTCATGTAAAATTAGACTCTGGATCCTTATTTTGCATTTTTAGACATGATACATCATAGTTCATATCGCCTGGCATCATTAAACACGTTGTCTTGTGATATATGGGATTTATTTGTTAATAATCATATCATGCTTACACTTAATACTTGATTGATTATTATAAGCAGCGGAACCAATCTTAATACCAAAATCACATGTAATCTAGACAACTAGATAATAAAGTTTTACAGGTTAAACATAACTTTTCAGTTATGTGAGCCTTCAGTTCCACATCGTCTTATTGGAATCTCCCCCACCCACATGATCATGATCCCCGAACGTTTCACGATTTTCTACCGTGTTACCCAAAAAATATTCGGAAATAACAATTTCGTGTGAGCGAAATTCTCTAGGAAAAAGAGGCACAAAATTTGGCCACCCTCTCTGTCCTCCCTCTAGGTAGAAAACTGATCACATCCAATTCACACCCAATTAAGGAATATGAAACGGTCGTTACAATAATAAAATCCAACGCGAGGCGGGGTTGAATCCACATGGAGTTTGAAGTGGTGTTGAGGTAAACACTCAAGAGAGAAACTCGGAATAACTAAATTTATCTTCCAAACAAAAGTGGGTAACTGTTATCTAAATAACTGCTAAGAGATTTAACTAACTAGTGAGCAAATAATGGTTGAAATGTTTCAAATGTTTTTATCAAATAAGCAAAAGCCTAGGGTTGTAACCTTAACCTAGGTGTAAATCTAATGGGTAAAGTAAATCTATGCTTGCTTGGTAGATCGGGGTTTGTTATGACTCTCAATACTCAAGTACCCACTCAATACCTCTCGGTTAATGAGTGATTATCCCCAAATTGGCTTTCTCAAGACCAAATAAGTAGCAATCAAAACATTGAATATGAGTCCAGTTGGATTATCCCTATCTCTAGTTCAAATCCTTTAATCAAACTAATCAAAACTTCAACTACTTCAATTTCTTGTTAGCCAAGTTTTCCTAAACTAAGTTCCTCTTTCTCAAGGAAGAACTAAGTCAAATAGACATGAATTAATATCTGCAACCATTAATTCTAAGTATAAAGCATAAACAAGGCTGAATAACATCCACCCAATCAATAGCAAGCACTAATATTAAACACCCACTAGAGTTGATCGCAACCCTAGATAAAATCTTGCTACTCATAATAATTGACATAGAAAAATAAAAAGAAGTAATTGAAGACATAAAACTAGAATTAAAGTGAAAAATAAATGGGTCTTCTCTAATTGTTGCTCCAAGTTGCCCAAAATAGCTAAATATAACCGATAGCTGCTGCTATAGTACAAAAATTGACCTAAAAAAGTGTTCCTAGTCTATTTACAGTGTTCTGAAATTCTTTGACAAAAATACCCTTCAGAGGGTTCTGCGGCCGCGCATAAGCTTCTGCGGCCGCACAATTTTGTTGTGGACCGCACGTTGAGGAGGCTTCAGACTTGTCTATTGCAACCTCTCTGATCTTTCAGTCTTCAGCAATGCGAATCTCAAGTGCGACCGCAGTTTTTGGCCTGCGGACCGCATTTCTGCATGATATCCCTGAAGCTTCAGTTTCTCCTTTGCGGCTGCATATCATGTTCTGCGGACCTCACTGTTCTTTGCACTTCTCCTCTTGATTGTTCTGAGTTGGAATATCTCCTCTTTAAGTTAGATTTTGTTGTTGAGCTTACATTCTCCAGCACACCTGCAATTCACATATTTTCATTAGATTCGAAAACAAAAACCACTTCTTTCGGACTAAAAACTAAAGCAACAAGGTACTAATAAGTGGTTATAATCCACACTTATCAACTCCCCAAAACTTAAGTCTTTGCTTATTCTCAAGCAACTAGATTAGTTCCTTCCTTCCCTCAATGAAAGTTCATTTCAAAGAGTTACTTATAAGTCATTTATACTCAGTTGGTACTAACAATTAGCCACAATACTCATGCATTCTAAACAAGGTGTCAAAATTTTCAAAAATGTGCAACTTGCATGTAACTCTAGTGTGACATTTGAGCTTCACGAATTGACTTCATTCATCAAGGACTCTTGTTCTTTCATGTAAATCATGGTGGACTCCAAACCTTTCCTCTTCTACCTTCCATTTTCCATGCTCACTTCAAGATTTCACACTCAATTTCTAGAGCAATAAATGTTTCACTCTTCTCTTACAAAGGAATGTCACAAGTAAAGCTTCAAGTAGCATAGGCTACCTTCCATTTTCCACGCTCACTTCAAGATTTCACACTCAATTTCTAGAGCAATAAATGTTTCACTCTTCTCTTACAAAGGAATGTCACAAGTAAAGCTTCAAGTATCATAGGCTTGTCCCTCATGTAAATCTCCACTAATAATAGGACTTCTTTCGGGTTGTAATGAAGGCTTTTGGATCGGGGTAGGATACCATATGGGATGTAAGAGGTTATACCCTTCTTTAAGCACTTCACATCACATTTCTTGGCTCACACTTGCCAAACCCTCTTAGAGGCATTTCTTTTTCTTGGGGGCTAGATGGACTTGCCATCACTCTTTATTAACCATTTCAATCTTTCTCTCTCTTGATGTTTATTCTAGAGGTGCTTGCCTCATTCAATTTCATCAATCTCCCTTTTTGTTCTCTTTTTTGTGTTTCTTTTTGTTCTTTCTTTTCTTGCTTTCTCTTTCATGAAGATCATTTCTTTTCTCTCTTTTCAATGCCCTAATACCTATTTTAGATTCCTCAACTTCTCCTCAAACTTAGGCTTTGAGCCACTTACTACATATAAGTGCTTAGGAAGGTTCAAGTGCGAAGAGAGGATTATGTTCAAAATGGGTAGAGGCTTATATCATGATTAACAACAGAGAAAGGCTAAAGACTCAAAGAGGTTGACTAGGGATAACGATCATATGATGGGAATAGAAAGCTCAAACGGTCCAAGGAAAGCCTACAATCATCTTTCAGACCTAGCAAACTTAGAATTTCGCCTTGAAGCACATTCAGAGCAAGTTCTAGACTATTCACTCAAGTACTTGGACTAGCAACAAAATTTCATCTCACCTCTCATACAACTAGACCGTAAAAGAGGATAGAGTCTAAAACCCACAATAATCACAATTGTTGCTCTCAAATGCACACGCAAGTATACGTGGCCGTACAAGTAATAAAATGATAAATCGAGTGTCGAACCCACAAAGACTTGTGTTAACTACCCACTAATTTCACCAAGATCGTTATTCAGTCGAGTCAATCAGAGTTCAAAAGTGTGATTATGCTAAGCAACAGATGTAACAAGTAACTAATTAATCAAGCAGACAATAGTTGTTGTGTATTCAGTAGAGGTGAATATTCCAGGGTTGTAATCGATTCACCAATCCTATTGCATTCTAATTAACTCTCCCTTTCATACATCGCTCATGGTTACTAAATAATCAAATAATTGCTCTCATAGTATTCTCTCGAATTACTACTTGCCTATTAAAAATAGATTAACGCCTATATTCCTATGGAATCAATCTATTAAGAACACATTAAGATTACGATATTCAAATTGAGCATGGTGACTAGGTATATTCCTTTCCTAACCACAAATCCGCCCCCACTTAGAGTTAAGATCATGCTCTCTTCAATTCTTCTCTAATCTAGACGTAGCTTTACCAAGTATAACATAAATAGTAAATAGAACCCAACTGTTGGCCAGACAATTAAGCAATAAATCACAGAATTGAAGAAACAACCATATATTAGAAAATTATAATCAAGGTTAAGTCAACTTCAAACAACAATATTCATGGCTAAATCATAACCCCAGAACTTATGGGTTTTAGCCACTCACGATAAAAGTATACAATTTCATAAGTGTTGAATAGTTGAAAATACTAAGAAAGATGAAGAAAAACTGAGAATCCTTGCTCCCGAGTGTTCCGTGTGTGTATTTTCCTCTCAAAGTGGCATCTCCCCCTCCAATATAGGTTTAGACTTGATTTTATACGAGTTGGGGGTGTCTTGGGTCAAAATAACCTTGTCTCGGTCGAGGTAGGAAACTTTCCCGTCACCCAGAGCCTAAGGTAGCGTAGGGCGTTGGCGCTGGTGCTGGGAATTTTGGAGTTCTAGTTTTTATGCCACAGGTAGCGCCCCACGCTAGCTTGGGCGCTACTTTGTGGTACTTTTCCATTTCATCCTCCTTTTCCTTCAAATCTCACACCTTCATCCCATATTGCCTCCGGATGATTCTTACATATAAAAATACCATGAATTAGCACAAGTTATTACATTACACATCCGAAATCTATGAAACATGAGTAAAATGCGAGGCAATATGCATATAAATATATATATATATATATACTTTAAGCCAAATATCAACACCCCATACTTAGACTCTTGCTCTCCCTCAAGCAATGGAACTATAAAATACACCCTAACAAGGTACATATCAACCATGAGGAGCAATTTAATTTTTAATCATACACTCTACCCTTGACTATGATCGATACTGGAATTCAAGCATGAACATACGAAATTCACATTCTTCCCGTTTTAAACATGCCCAAGTATAAACAACTTAACTCAACCAATTCAAACAACCCGTCCATAACCACCCTACCTCAAGAGCTGACTCGTTACCACTAAGAACCCTCAACTCGCGCACTCACCCAATAAGAGAATTTCACAACATTACCAATCCGTCATGAGATCATG